TTTGAAGATATTATTCTGACTTATCTATATATATTTTTTGTTTTATAAATAAACTTTAGTTTTTAAAATAAAACATATTTATTTTTAACATGTTTGACCTTGCATAATAATTTTTACCTTTTATTTTATTCAATCAATTTTATTTGTATTTCTATTATTAATTTAAATAAATATATTAAGTAAACATAATCGATTAAATGCTTCATTTTATAAAATTAGATATTTTAGTTTATAACTCTCTTTTACAAAACCTTCTCCGGTTAACAAATCCACTCCCGTGTACCTCCTAAGACCTAGCTATGAGAGCGTGTCTATACATATACATATATATATTAGAAAGTGATTTGATATTTATTATAGGAAAAGATTTTCAAATTATACAACACATAACCTTATCATATGTGATGGTGCGATAATAATTATATAATGCATAAACTAATTAATCATGAATCATTTACTGCAAATCATTTAATAAACAAAAGTTTAAACATCTCTGGCATAATCCTTTTCTCATAGACATCTCTTAAAACGATCATTAGAGACCAGACTTCTCCCTTAATTTAGCAATCATGATCATATACGCGTTTCAGGCAAACCGTCAGCAGCCTGATTGTAAAACATGGCAATATACAGAGACCATGGAGCGTCCGGCCTGGCAGCTACCAAAACAAACCAATCTGAGCTGTGCAAATGCATTGGTTTCCTGGACTAGAATAGCATATCAAAAACTCAAAAATCATGATCAATACAGCATAAAACCTCGGGCAGCTTAACTAGCTTGCTGGAAAGGCGAGGGAACAGCCCCATCATAACAACATAGCTTTTAAGCAAACAAACTTTCAAGTAATGGTACTACAAAGAAAATTTAAGCAATGGCATGTTAGTTCCACACAGGATAGATGGTTCTCATCCATTTCTTAATAGAGATTCTATCAAACATGAAGGCAATAGGTTTGTTCGACATAAAGATCACAGGATTATCACATTTCACTTCGGATTCCTAAGGACAATAATAACAGAATCACCACGGAGGAACATTTTGCTGATGAATCTATCTTTGTTGACTGGCTGAGCTTTCTTCTTGCCTTTCCCAGTTTTTGGCACCTGAAACAGAAAGCCATGAGCATTTAATTGATATAGTAGTTACTTAGATGGAAAATGCAGCTTAGGACTTAGAAGTTGTAGAGTCTCTGTCAGTAACCAACCTCAGTCCACATCTCCCTAACATTTTCAAGAACCATGTTGCAATGTCGATCGAATGCCCTCACACGTCCCAGAAGCTTCTTGTTGTTGCGGCAGTTAATTAGTACCTGAATGACTAACAACCATTAGAATGTAAAACTGACCAAGATTCTAACAGCATATATGCAAAATCATACCCATTCAATATACAGTTAAGTGATTTCATCAGCCAATATCAAATCTGATAACTCCAATTCCAATAAATGGCATCTGTTAATTAGGGAACTTTGATTGGAGCCCAACATGCCAGGTACAAACTAGTTCTGGGGAATGAAGTCAACAAAACAATGATTTTAAAGTTTCTTTATTCCTAGCAAACAAGTCAACATTACTGCAAAACTCACCATGACAAAGTTTTCTCCAAACAGCACCATTACCAAAAATGCCACAAATCAGAATGTTTATGAATAACTCAGCTTTAACTTCAAAACTAGTAATCTAATGGTTCTATTCTTTACCCCTTAATGATATACTAGGTCTGAAAACATTACCTGGGTATTATTTTTGACACTCATCATCAGAACAGAAAGCGGCCCAGTGCTGAATTCCTCCTCCTCATTCTTGCTCTGTAAAACAGTTTGAAGGAGTGTTACAAGCAACCAAAGACTTTATAAGACAAAAGTAGTGACTAGGCATCTTACTAATTGCAAACATTTTCCTAGCAGATGTAAATTGGTATATCAACGGATAGTAATAGCTCATTCTTAGTTGAATTGCAAAATGAACATCACATTTCACTTGAATTCAAATCTCTCTAAGTAAGAATTTTAACCATGTTTGCCCTCAGCAAAGGACATTGCTCAAATACACATAGAAAAATAAAGGTACTGATTTTTCTTCGGGTTCAGGAAGACAGAGAGATGCAAAAACTTGACTTGAAATGAATGAAAGAGAATCAAGTCAGCACAAATGCTCCCCACGTGTTACAATAAAGTTGGGTACAATAACAAGTTGTACCTAATTCAATCTCATTTTCTCTCTAGCAAAAAGTTTCAACATTTGGAAAAATAAAACAGAGCACTATATTTCCTAAAAGTAACATACCGGGGCATCCTCTTCCATCGGCCTACTGCAAAAGATAGAGGAAAAACTAACTGTTAGTATATTTATGGTCAAGTTCACTATAACATTGAAAAAAAAAGAGTACCCATTCAGATAAGTATCATGAGTACAACTTCTAACAAATAACAGACAAATCACAGCACCTGTTTCCCTTGGAAATTGTCATACAAAAAATATACTAGCATAGCGTGGTTGATTACTATAATTGCAATACCTTGACTGTGCAAGTAAAGAAAGACATCAACCAAATGAGATGAATTTACAAAGCATGTTTTTGAGTTCCATGAAAATTGTATTTTCTTCACCACCAAAAAAAAAAAAAGTAAGTGATTGAGAAATTCCCCGGTAGTCCAGAGTTTACATAATAGTTTATAAAAACTGTGTTCACTGTTGAGAAATTGAATACGCATCAACACATTTTAAGCTTCGTGATATCATATAAAGAAATACAGCAAAGACAAAAAAAAATTGTTTTTTTGTTCTTTTTCAAATGACAACATTCTCTAAAATCCAGCAAGCAATTCCAGAAATAAAAAATAATAATGATAATCAGTTACTATTTTAATAAGTAAACGATAATTAAGATCTTCGAGTTTCAAAACGACGCACAAATTTTACCAACACTTTCACTAAAACCGAGCCCTAGTTTGCTACTAAGTAGATAGAGGAATCAAATAAATCGATCCATAGCTAAGAACAAGGAGATTAGGGTTAGAGGCAGTTACCTCATTTTGAATTTTGAGCTTGAATCTCTAGTAGCAAGCTATCAAAATCTGCAGATAAATAAAGAAAGAATTAGCATTTTTTTCTCCAGGAGAAACTGCAAGTAGTAATCAAGAGACGAAGCACGGAAGCAAGAGAAAAAGAGGACTCTTGTGAACTTACAAGAAAGAGCTGGCTAGGGTTTAGAGTGTGGGTTTAGGGATTTCTTTCTTTCGCCACTCAGATCTGGACGACAGGGGAACAAAATAACAAGGGGTCCGCGACGGTGCAGATTAGTACTATAATGCTGGTGGCACTTTACCACGTAGTAGTGGATCCAATGGGCCTTTTTATCCAATACGAATTTTGAGATTCAAGGCCCAATTAGCTTCCTGCTAGTCTTTTTCTTTTTTTCTCTGTGAGCTGTCAATTGTTTGCGGTCAGCTTTTCCTAGGATTTTACTTTGCCTTTTTTTTCCCCCAGCAAGTTTTGGATTTAGTTTTTTTTTTAGTGGTGGCTTTTTAAAGTATATGTTGTTTGAAAATATTAAAATAATATTTTTTAATTATTTTTTATAATTTTATTATTGATATCTACACATTAAAAAATTTAAAAACACAGAAAAAAATTAAATCTCCAATGAATCTCTTACAATAATGTCATTCTGTATAAATTAATAGCATGAATTAGGCGTGTGAATTGTGTATGACTAATTATGCATTGCCCAAATTATAGTGTGGATAACAATCCAAAAAATTGCTCAAATTAGCTGTTTGATAAATAAGATGAGATTATTTACCTTTCTCTTCTCTTGGTTACGATTAGTTGGCAATCTCATGCGAGTTTATACAAATTAAAATTAATATTGCTTCTTCAATCTAGTCTAAAATAAGTATTTTGGATTTGAGAATGCATAACGAGCTATGGTTTTTTTATAGATTTTTTAATATTATAATAATGGTTTTGAGAATGCATAACGAGCTATGGTTTTTCTGTAGATTTTTTAATATTATGGTAATGATTGTTATTTAATATATATATATTTTTAAATAAAATAAAATAATTTTTATTTTTTAAATTTATTTTTAATATCAATATAATAAAACAATTTTAAAAAATAAAAGAATAATTCGAAATAAAATATTTTTAAAAATAATTTAAAAAAATAAAAAAATAATTGGAGATAAAATATTTTTGCATGGTACCTCACTTGGGATACATTTTCCACTTTAACGAAGCTTGAGAGCTTTTTTCCAATCAATTTTGCTAACTGCAAAGTTTCCGACCTTCGCTCACTTGGGATACATTTTCCACTTTAACGCAGCTTGAGAGCTTTTTTCCAATCTATTTTGCTAACTGCAAAGTTTCTGTATTGTTAAATAATATTTATATAATTTTATTTATTAAGGATAGAATAATTATTTCAATTTAATTTATATATACTTTATTTATATTTAAATTAAGATTAAACATTCATAATATACAAATTATTTAAAATTTTATCCTCTTTTTTATATTTAATCTTAATTATTTTAACACATACATCTCAATTAACCAGATAAATTTTTGGATCATGGGAAGTTTTATTTATATATAGTAACCAAGCTCTTGGATAACAGCCATGGGAGAAGAGCAACATGGCGGAATGAAGCCTGCGGGTTCCGTTAAATCCACAAAGACAGCTACCAAGTGATGGCTTGCAAGTCGTAGGCAGCGACAATCACTTTTTTATTTCTTTTTCCCTGTGAACATGATTTTCACATTTTCAGTAAAAAAAATCACTTTATTTCTTTTTCCCTGTGAACATGATTTTCACATTTTCAGTAAAAAGAAAAAAACCAAGCTCTTGGATAACAGCCACGGGAGAAGAGCTACATAGCGGAATGAAGCGTGCGGGTTTCCTTAAATCCACAGAGATAGCAAGCAAGTGATTGCTTGTAAGTCTTAGGCGGCGGAGATGGAAGTTTCTCTATGCCAATGTTGAAAGTTTCATGCAACGGTTCAACAACAAGATTACTTCCCTCGGCGGTGTACTTGTCAAGCCAAGCTACAACATCGGTAAAAACGATTCCAACGTTTTCGTCAGTTTCTCCCGCCGTCAAACCATGCCACATTCCAGGGTACAATTTCATGGTCTTGTCTTCGCTGCTTGCTCGCTCATACAAGGCCTTGCTTATTTCAGGGTCCGTCACCGTATCTGAGTCACCGTGCAACACTAAGAATGGCAGTGTCACCTGCAAATTCAACAGCTCAAATCAACTAAACATTGTAGATGCATCGTCAATAACGGGAGCTAAAAGCAGGGCTACTGACTCGCCTTATTTAAACTTTCCTCCACCCTCATGCTAGTTCTGAGCATTTCCAGCGCTGTTTTCAGCCTAGGCTTGTCTTGGTATATCAGCTTGTTATTCCTTATCTAAACCAATACACCAGCTCAGGAGTTGTCACCAGAAAAAAAATACTTTTATAAATTTCCAGCAATTTCCTTATCAGAACATCAGTTTTAAACGAAGGGGAAAAAAGCTCACCTCTTCTCTCTTAACAGGGTCTTTAAAGGCAGAGTCAATGACATCTTTTGACGGGACGATCTTCCACTTTGGTATAAGATCTTCAAAACCAGTCAAGATATTAATAACCACCTGGTGTGGCTTCAACTTCTCCGATATCTATAAAAAAAATTCCATCCCAGTAAATAAGCATGCCCAGCAATGGTTAAATATCTATCGAAAATAAAATATGCTATTTACCTTACACATAGGGGCGGCAAGAACAGCACCATTATAAAAAGAAGGTTCCTTCATGTGGAGTAACAGTGCAACTGCTCCTCCCATGGACTCTCCATACAGGAACCTGCCCTTATACCTGTATTCTTTCTCGGCTGAAAAGCAATGCAAACAAATTAATTTAAGCTGTCTGCAGTTCACCGTCATAAATTCACCGTAACATTTGGTAACGAGTGTTGAAAACTGGTGGCTAGCTTACCACAAACTGACTTGAAAAATTCATCGCAGTCGTTCACTATATTTTCAAATTTCTTGATGTAACAGCGAGAACCAGTGGACCGTCCATGCCCCTCGTAGTCAATTCCAAACACAGCATATCTAGCACTTGCTAGCCTGACTCCACATTCTATTCCAATCAAAACTTGCTTCATTAAGTGACGTTCCAACATTTATATCAAAGACAGTGGTTAGGTATTGCAATAAATCATAGACGGATAGCAGTTCCAAATTTAGACCACACAAATTATATCCTTGTTTAAAAGGATGTTTTTTTTTTTTGTGTTTAAAAAGATTTTTTTGCATTATTTTAATAAATTTTTAAAAAATTGTTTCAATGCATATCTCAATAAAAATAAGTATAAAAAATATTTTAAAAATAATTATTATTATACTTTCAAATATTACCTAAATATTGATAATATTTAAAGCATCAAGAGAGATAAACATGAGGAGAAAAATAATTTCTTTCGTGTATCTCTCTTCTCCTTGTTCCATGTTTCTTTTTGTTCGCATCTCTTCTTCTTTTGTGTCTTTAGCACCACGAAACTTCTAGTGAATTTCAAGTTGCTTACCAAACAAATCAACATTGTAACATCCATGTCATTGAACAAAAATTTGTTACTCGTGTTTAAAAAGAGATTAATAATAATCCTACGATTTCTATTTCATGGAGTCTGGTAGGTCACAATTGTTACGCAAGTGCAAGAAAAAAAGATCTGGTGGGCCTAACAGCCCAACAAGAGACCGGTTGCCAAACCTCCTAACCAAACTTTTTAACTGACCCACGTTTCCATTTATGGTCAGACATATAGCTGACCCACTCAGGTGCACTAATTCATACTCGAATGTGGTGTGAATAATTAGTTAACTTACTTTAATTAAAAAAATAACAATCATATTCAAAACAAGTTGTTAAAGTGGCATAAGAAATTATGAGTTAGATCAATGGAAATCCGATTAGAAGCTCTCCATTTTACACTAACTTCAGCATGCGTACACACTTGTGGACGCCAAGTTATGGGGCTCAAGTTGCCAAAGAAAGGCTTCACGGGGGAGCGTGTCCCAAATCAATGAAGATGTGACGGGGATAAGATAAACAATATAGTCGTGAACCTCCCTTTTAGTGGCCTGAGTTAATCGTGATGTAACATAAAAATGACAGCTGTGGGACATGAGTCGACTAGACATCCATGGCCAGCTTCAACCTCTTGTCTGATTATTAGCAATAATTGCCCATTCCGTCTGGCACTTTCCCTATTTTTCTAACTATATGCATGCAAGACGACAGATGTGTGCGTGTGTGTGAAAGCAAAAGCTCTGGTCGGGGTTAGGAATAAGAACGGGTAAGAGTTTTATTATATTTATACTCGGGTTATTAACAAATTAAGATATTTATATTACATTCATTGAATTTTAGATATTTAAGTATGTATTGAATTAAAAAATTATATATATATATATATATCTTGAATTAAATGGGATTTCTAATTGAGTTGATAATATCTATATATTAGTCATAAGCTAGAATAATTATAAAAAATACTCAATAAAAGGGCACCCTAGACTGCCTTCCCTTCCATACAAAAAATCGAACCAAGCTTTTCTGCAAAATCCACTTTTAAAAATAAACTGCGGCAAGATATGGACAGAATACCTTAAAGTTAAATTGGTCATGTTTCAGAACTAGTTACTGTCACTGCCAAATTGGTAGTGCCTATAGATGGAATACCCATAAAAAATAATTAAAGTGGTCGTTCTGCATGAGGTCACCATTAAATCCAACGGGCAGTAGGATGGTCCGGATCGCGCAGCTCATGGAGGAGTGGGTGGTGTATTATACGCGATCAATAAATGATATCCATATAATTAATTTTTGGGACTGTGCTCTGATTGAAAGAATTTAATTAATTTATTTAAAATTATTATATATATATTATTTTAATATATGGACGTTAAAAATAAATTTAAATAAAAAGCACACCATGGACAGAAAGACAAACATGCTCACAGGAAACACAAAATCAATGGTTTTTTTAGCTTTGATTTTAGGTTTCAAGTGATCAGAAGAAGAAAACAGGCCAAGCATTCAAATCAGCTAGCATGAACAGTAGGACGTTGCGACTAAAATAAAGAACATAGAGAAAAATAAAAGACGTTACTAAAGCGAATTCATTACCTCTCATGAAACCACTGCACTCCATGCCATACCCTGCAAACTCCATTAATGAGCTCAATAAATCACACCAACAACACAGACCAGTACCACTGATGAGACCGAGAGATCCCACACAAAGAGAGAGATAGAGTTCATGGAAGAAAAATACCATGGCAAAGGAAAACAAGTGCTTTTGGAGAACATGAATTCGCAGGCAACCATCTGCATGTAAAGAGCTGCACTCCTCTCGAACTTTTTATATACTCCTGTCGAAACACGATCATAAATATCATCAAACATATCTCCACTAACAGCCCAGGAAAGAGAAACAGATGGAGTCAAAACCTTGGATTGTTACCTCCCGATATTCAAACTCCATCGCCTTGCAGAACTAAGGAGAAAGAACGCAACGTTAAAGCAGCATAAACTGATGATCAAAGTTTGAAAAGATCGAAGGGAGATGATGAGCGGCTTAAGGTCAAAAGGTGAGAGCTCTCTTCTACACGCCGAAAAAGAAATATATCTTAACACGAAAAAAATGAAAAATATTTGGGGAGAGGGATCCGGTGAGATTTGTTTACTTATCCCAAATCGTTGAACAGTTAGGATCCCTTGTTAATATTTATAGGAGTTGAGCAGTTCCGAAAGCTATGAGTTGGCACGTGTGCAGACCATCCTGCCACCGCCTTGGCACGGAGATTAATAAGATAGATAAAAGATTTCAAGCACCTCCCAAATTGCTTTCAACTCCATTCTCATCCTTATCGCTTATATACCCAGAATACTAATTTTGACTAGATTATTTAATGTGATTCGCCGATCTTCAGAGTTTTTTTATTTTATTTTTCTTTCTTTTCTTTTAATGGTAGTTGGTGGGTCCGGCTCAGCTCAAGTATAAATTGTTAATTAAATTTCCTCTATTTTCTTCAGCTCAAGTCTAATTTATTCTTGCATGTTTGATAATATATAATTTATTTTTAAAATATTGTTGTGTCTCTAATCTACCATTTCGTAGTATTTTTATCACCAAAACTAAAATTAACATATTATATGATTTGTATATGACCAATTAAGATTTTATATATTTAAAATACCCTTAACTCTTGAATATATACAGGTAGTGTAGATAGTCTTGATCTTCATTTTTTTAAGCTCAATTTGTTACCTGAAGTTTCTGTTCTTAGTCGAGTCTTTCCATTGTCCAAATTATATTGCAAGAAACAATGTTGTTTTGTGAAAAACTTGACCCATTTCATTTGAGTTTTTAGGCTTGATTAGGGTTTTTTAAATAACTTAGGCATTCGATTGAGACAAAATACACGGAGCCCTCAATTGTGACAAAGTCCATAGTTTCGGGACTTTTTGAGGTTTTCAAGGTTTCCTTGTATTTATCAAAAGACACGCATGTCATTCTCATCAACTCCGCCTACTAAATTCTCTCACGTTATCCCAGTCAAGAAAGATAAAGAAAAATAAAGTAAAAACAAATAAAGATGTGGTCTCTGACCTGACGTGTTTTTAAAATGAAAGAGAGAGAGAAAGTTATGCTGTCGCCTGAGAGATTAAATTAAATCGGAACTATAAAAATATACGAAGGAGCACGCATAAAACAAAAACAATTTTCATTGTGCTTTAACTTTATTATATATAAAAATAGGATGTTGTTCATAAATATACAAAATAATTTTAATTATGTTCAAAAATATAATAAATGGTTTTATTAAAGCTGATCTCTCATGTCCAATAACAAAGTACTATAATAAATATAGATTTCATGAGAAATTTTATAGTATTCAGGGAATAATTAATAAGATCTTATTAATTATTATTCAATTTTTTTTTAAATAAACACAAGTAGAGGAGAGAACTAATAAATAAAGATATTCTTATCATTTTTTATATATCATGAATTTTATATTCTCTTTTATTTTTGTGTTGTTTTTTTTTTAAGATAAATTCTTAAAATAACTGTTAAGATGTTATTAGTTGCTCTCCGAGCACTATTAATCTTTTCATCAGAAGACTTTCTTGTTTTTTTGACATTATTGTGTTTTTTTAAAATCATACATGTCAATGACTGTAGAGTTTCTCCTCTTTGATTGTAGATATATAGAGAACTCTTAGATTTGAATCTCAAATACGATATCTTCACAGCACATAATAACTCACAATTGCACACACACAAACAAAAAGAAAGGTTTAAATATATATTTATTAAGAAAATATATTAATTAGTCAAGTGATTAGTCACAATCCCAGTATTGTAAGGTTTTCATTGCCGGGCCAAACCAGTTTATGCCGCATCACAACAACATTACTGGATAGACATTTTGTTAAATAGTTGATGGCATATATTCATAATAAAAATCACTAACGGGATTTAGCTCATGTGTGTCCAGGATCCTACTTCAAAGAGCCTTTCTTATACTTTTAAAACCAGGGAGATTATGTGTTGAAAAGCTTTTAACAAATTGCATCCCAGTATGCTAATAGGTTAAAATTTGACCTTGCACATTAACCAAAAAAAATCATTAAAACTATAAAACTCAACAGTGCATTAAATGTGGACTCTTACATAGTTGTACTTGGTGAGGAATAAGGTGCTAAACTCAACCTATTTAATAGATAACTTAGATGAATTTCAATTTATATCGAATGGAATTTTTTATGAGTGTTTGGAATTTATGTTTTTTTTTTAATAATATTTTTTGATTAAAAATTAAATTGTTTTAAATATTTTATTATGTTAATTTTAAAAATAATTTAGTTCAATTTATATCAGATGGAATTTTTTACGAGTGTTTGGAATTTATGTTTTTTTTTAAATAATATTTTTTGATTAAAAATTAAATTTTTTTATTATGTTAATTTTAAAAATAATTTAAAAAAATAAAAAAATTATTTTCATATATTTTAAAACAAAAAATATTCTAAAAAGCAACCACAATCATACTTAATTAGTGTTTGAAAATGCGGTTGAATTTGCGTTTTTAAAAAATTTAAAAAAAATTATTTTCTCAATCATACTTAGACAGTGTTTGGGAACGCGGTTAAACTTGTGTTTTCAAAAAATTCAAAAAAAATTTATTTTTTATTTTTATTAAAATTTAATATGATTTGGACGTTTTGAATCGTTTTAATGTGCTGATATTAAAAATAATTTTTAAAAAATAAAAAAATATCATTGGCATGCATTTCAACACAAAAAATTATTTGAAATGCAACCGCTATCACATTGCCAAATACACTCTTAATAAGCACATGAAAAACACTTTGATTACCGTTACCACATTGCCAAACACACTTTTAATAAGCACATGAAAAACACTTTGATTTAATAGGTCAAATCCAAGACTTGATATAAATTTTTTTAAAAAACCTTGAAAATTTACACAATGTTATGTTTAGTTAAATAGAGCTAATTTTTCCAAAATTTTGCCTGCAGACTGCTTGCTTTGATTTGCAAATTGCTTTAGACATGAGTTACAGGATGGTGCTACTGCAAACGGGCTGTCTTCAGGTGGTGCATGCTCTAGGAAATCCTTCTTCCATTTTCAACGAGTCGGCCCAGATTGCAGCGGATATTTTGTCCATAGGTCAGTCTTTTGAGCACCTTTCCTTTCAATTTTCTCCCCGTTGCACCAATCAGGTGACACATGTTCCAATCAGGATGGCTGCTAGTTTAGACGCTGTTTGTTTTTGGCTAAAGGACAAATCAGCTAGTCTTGATTCTCTACCGAAAAAATAAATAAATAGTAATAGGTGGCAGTTGAATATAGAAAAAGATTTAAAAAAAAAAACACCTATCGATTAATATTTTTCATATCAGGTCTATCTTTAACTTAAAAACAAAAACATTAAAAATTATTGTTAAGAAAAAAAATAGAACTGGGCATTTTAATCAAAATAGGGTGTCATGTAATTAATATTTTACCCATAATACAAACTAAAAAACCAGCAACCTTTCACAGTACTACAGTAGCTTAAATTGTACCGAGTTGAAACAAAATAGTTCAATCTTAAATGCTTTGTACAAACCATCTCAAAGTGTTCCATGACAACGACAGTCGAACACCAAGTGGTTAAACCTCCCCGTCAACAGACCACAAACAAAATTCGCTCATCTTAAGAGAATTTTAAATTTTAAATTCCACAAACAACAAAACAGACACAAAAACTAACCTCAAGCTCCACTACTAATTGCTGTACAATACCAAAGCTCTAACACGCTTGTTGGGTAAATAGTGGGGTCATCCCTATGGAGCATGGACTTTCTCCAAGTTTAACAGAGATGACCTTTCCATATAACATCCCAGTAATCTAAAGATTAACTACATATTCCACAACTAATCCTAATTAACTTAGTTCATGCCACATCTAATACGGATCATTTCACAGTCCTTGCTTTTGGGCTCCAGTTTGCATTCCCAATTCGTGCAAAATTGGAGAAAGCAAGCTGTAGTTAGTAGAGTTATTGAGCAATGCAATCGTTATGATGCCGCCATAAAGATAATTAACGTGAGCAATTTAATGGAAGCATGGAAGCCAGAAACAAAAATTTATATTTTGCCTCTTGTATGAAAATATTTCGATTCCAAAATTGTTCCCGTGCATTACCAAAGGGTGATTCGGTGAATGATAATGATCTTGGAATGAAGGTAAACATTTACTTAAAACTGCAAGACTTGGTAATGCACGCAATCGTTAGAGAAAGAATCAGTTGTTCATCAAAGGGGCCCGTTAGAAAACGATTCTGAAAAGTACGTATGATACTAAAGAAGATTATCCAGTGGAAACTAAAATAAGTCGTTCATAAAAATAATCGGTGACACAGCCGTGAAACGTGAAATAGAAAGATCTGAGGGTAAAATCCTAAGAGAGGATAAAGGAAGAAGTCAATATACTTGAAAGAAAGATGGCACCTCAAGTTATAGCTAATTGTAGGGGTCAACCCTAATCCATGTTGGAAAATTTAGCTAGGTGAGTCTTTTATCAAATGGAAGCAAGAAACACTCCCCTAAGTTCAATTTCAGATGAATCAGATAATAATGTTCCAGTAACAGATAATTACCTAAAAAAATCAAACAGGTGGGATGTAGATGGTAACCAGATGCATATGGTAGAGGCCAAGGAGGAAAGATCACCTAGCTTGACCAACTATGCTATTTTTTAGCAGATAACTCAAAAGGTTTTGGAATAGTCAGCGGCAACACTAAAGGCAGAAACCAGACCAGCCATCCCAACAACCTGTGTCCAACTTCTCGTCCCAGCAGCAACAGCTGCCCCTGCCACAGCACCCGCAATTAGAGGATTCACCTGTACGAAGAAAAAACTTTGATATGTTCTTCACTTAATCATCAAGCGTTTCCAAGAGCACCGTGTTTGATAAATGAACATTTTTTTTGTGCGAGTCAACAACTTGCAAATAATCATCCTAAATACACAAACATGTAAAGATGCAAAAGGCATCTATTTGATATTTGTAATTTAAATTATAATTCAAATATTGAATAAGATCATATCAGCCACTGAAAATAATAGTGGGGTGGAAACAACGATTGGTGAAAATAGGAATGACACCAACCTAAGGGTAGAGCCTTTGTAGAAAGTCCCAGTAAAGAGTAAACTATATAAAATCATCACCTTAAAACATTATATTTCCTTAAAAGAAAACAACAGAGACTAAAATATA